CCCGTCCCTTCCCCTCCCCCCCTCCCCTCCCCTCCCCTCCCCTCCCCTCCCCTCCCCTCCCTCCCTCCCTCCCTCCCTCCCTCCCTTCCTCGCTCCCTGTTCCTCAGCGCAGGAAGAGGGCAACAATGCGCTTGTCGAATGCACAGCGCTGAAGTATTCGGCATCGGTTAGGGCAAAGGGCAAGTTCAGGGTTGGGTTGCTTGATGTTGCCTAGATCCCGTTTCTGCGCCTGTGTGTCTGGATTCACATGCTGGCCGACGGCAGAAGCGAAGGGGTGTATTGTTTCTGATCGAAGTCTTGTTCCCCCCTCCCTGAAATCACCGGGCTTCGAGGTATGCTGAAGGCTTGGACCCCAGAGCCAGAGCACGTGATGTGATCTTCATTCGGATCGGGATTGACTGTGACTCTGACTCTGACCGACTCTCGCCGTGATCCCACCGCGGACTAAGTGCGTCCAGTGCTGCCTGGACTGCTTCCGACAGATCGTTGAATTCCTGAACAAGAATGCCCGCGCCCTTACCGGGAACCGCAGCCGCATGCATGCTGCACGGGTAGCGGCCTCGGAGTGGGTTCGGCTGAGAGGCCTACGTGCACATGGCCATGAAGTCCACTGACTACTGTTCATCTGCCAGGTGGGAAAGCGAGAGCCTGGATAAGAAGAGAGAGAATGTAGTGCTGCGCCATTGGTTCGTACGATCGACTCCCTGCAAAAGCACAACATCGGGGGACTTTCACGATCGGAAGCCCTGGGCAAACTAAGCTAGATTGTTTCGTTGTAGGGTTTCTTTGTGACAGCCAGTGCATCTGATCTTGATGATAGAGCCCGAGTGGAGAGAAGGAGCCCCGAAACCGTCATACCGAGTCATACCGTCATACCCACTGTAGTGGTTACTTTGGAGTGCTATCTTTAACCGTTGATCTGAGCTGTACAACTGCTGCTCGAGTCTAGTCAGGATTGTTGCACTCTGTTTGCTGGAGAATCTAAGTTGTTGTTACATCATGTCTTGAGCAGCAGTCCCAGAGCACTCCAGCAAAATGCATGCACACCCACTCCACGGATTACGGGGAACGCTCGCCATGTTATCTACTTTTGCATTTCTCGCTTCACAAAAGCCCCCAGATCCGTCGAGGGGGTCCCAAAGTAGAACTGTGAAGTACGTCGGGACTGCCCCATCGGGGGGCTTAACTCGGCCTCCATGCCAGGGGGAAGAAGAAGAGGAGAGAGAGGGCCCGGTGGCGGTGCCTGGCTCTGCGTTGTGTCTTGTGGCTGCAGGGAGGCCGTGTCCGTGATCGCGCAGCCTGGGCCTCAGAGCTTGCGGCTGCGCCGCGCCCGTGGCGCGGGGGCGCTGCAGGCTGCCGGTGGCCATGGCGGTGCTGAACGGCGCGACGCTGGCCGGGACGCCCCGGGACGCCCCCCGTGCGCTGTCCGCCGGAGCCTCCGCCTCCGCTCCGCTGCTCGAGGTCTTCACCTTCTTTGGCGGACTCTTCAGTGTGCTCTGCACCTCGGCCGAGTCTCCCTTTAAGGCTCACGACCCCTGTGCGGAGCAGCCAGCCCTGTTTTCGAAAGAGGAAGCCTTCAGTATGCATTTGTTCCGCATGCGCGCAGAAGGCCAATCCATGCCCGTTCACTTGACAAGCAGCATAATGTGTGCGGGACCATGCAGCCAAATAATGCTGTAGCAGGCGTCTTGAAGTCTCATACTCTTCAACATGCCAATCTCTTGTTGCAGTTCCTGTTGTTGTTGCTGCTGTTGATGATGCGAAGGATTCCGTCGAACTCAATACAGCCCCGAATCGCTATATGCACGTCTGGAATTGCAAATGTTGTTTCCCTTGTCTGAGGCTGCGCCGCCGTTACGTTCCTGCTCACCAGCACGCCCTCCTTCTCGGCGCCAGATGCGCCGCTGCTTGGAAGCACTGCAGACGCAGCAACGCAACACAGCAGCGCAACCGTCCCCGCCAGCATTGCCAGGCTCTTTGTGGACCAGCCGGTAGCCGTAGCTTGTGCAGCCGGCTTCATCGGAGGTGCCGTGTCCTTGCGCCTCGGACAAAGCGCCCGCGTGGAGACGTGCAGCGCGGATGCGGCTTTGAAGCGAGGTGCTTCATGGCCGTCTTCGACATGGCCACGGATGCTTTGCTGTATTACTATGGTCGGGCGCCCGCAGCAGCCAGCCAGGCAGAACGTCAGATGGCGTTGCGCATCTGTGCGGAGGCCTGGACTGGCTCTATGGCCGAGGAGGCGAGTTTAGCAATGCACCGGATGGCATCAAAGCTGGGACCTGAGAAGACACGGTCCGCGCGCGACACCGACACCTCAGTCTCAGTCTCTCTTCCTCTCTCTTCTCTCTCTTCTCTCTCTGTCTCTGAGTCTCTGCATGTACCAGCAACGCTTGTTGTCACAGCGCCACTCCTTATAAGGAGCTGATGCACGGCAATCGGCACTGATCCAAAGATGCTGCAATGCTCGGTCAGAGCATGGGCCACTGGCAGAAGGGCTGCGCTGCGGTGTCTCGGCGACTCTCCGCAGTCGTCGCAGGATGGGCCGGGTCTCCAACGTTGAGACGCGAAGTCTCCCCCAACCAATTATATCGAATGAATGCACGCCGAATGCATGCAGAATGCACGCATGAGCGGCTTGGACGAGGCCCCCCTCCCACCCCCGGCAATGGGGAGCATAGCATAAGTCTTATGTGCTCAGCCGCCCAATTCGAACTGCTGCAGTGAGCCTCAGCAGAGCGAAAGTCCAGGCGCATACGGGGTTTTTGCCGAGCTCTGTTCTTGAGGGGGGACCGGCTGCTGCAGGCCGGGCGGATCTGGGTCTTGGCTCAGGAGCAGACTGCGGTTTTCCATGATTCAAAGCCTCACGAGTCGACGCAGGGTCTACCGCAAAGGAAAGCCTAGCCATCCTAGCCTAGTGCTCAGCTCAGCTCGGCTTGCGAGCCATGGCCAATGGCAGCAGGAGCAGAGCAAAATCTCGGCCTCCCTCCCCACTCTCGCTCTCACTCCCGCTCACTCTCCTTTCCCCTTCGCTTGCAGCAGGATCGACCGCGGTCGTTTGCTCCGAGACCGGGAGTATCTGTTACACGCAGTCTGCGCGGAGTTCCAGAAGGCCCCTCCACTGCCCCTCTCCTCCACTGCCTCTTTGCCTCTACGCCTTCAGGTGGATACTTACCACCGTGGGCTCATCACCTCCGCGAACTTTGCCAAGGCGTGCTAGCAAGCAATCGCAAGGATTGGTATGAACGTCTTTCGCATGATCTGTGGCTGCTTGCCTCGTCTTGCATGCCAATGCTTGATGCCACATGCCCCTGTCCTGCCGTATGACGACCGAAAGCATTGCACATTCATCAGCTCGTCTACACCGCACCAAAGACCAATCGATTGTGCCACATACCCCATTCGAAGCGCGCTCTGCGCGCTGTCGAATTCCTTGATCCGGATTCCTGCCGGGGTGCCGAATTACGAAGTCAGCCACCGCGAAGCATCCGGAGCATAGTAGACAGTTCAAGGAGTGGTACAGGCAAGTACAGTGTGCATGCGTATGCACGTGTTTGGGTAGGCTGGCTCAGGTAGCACCAAGTTGAACCGTTGATTTTGCCTCGCAGAGTTGCGGAGAAGGCTTTGTCGAGCAGCGGATCGAATGAGTTCGAACCCAGCCTCTTGCCATCTCTTGCCCCATCTGGCCTACATTCGGACGACCTGGCTTCTCAATCTTCGTTTTCCGTCTCCCGTGTGCAACGGCTGACGGTCCTAGGATTCTTGTCGGTCATCTGGAATCGTGGCTGCCAACAGGGAGTCATAGCTCTACTAGCGAGCGGCTGAGCGGAGACGGAGAGAGACACGCTTTGCAACACAACACCAAACCCCGACGTGTCGTCGTCACGTCTCTGTCCACTCGAGACCCCGGGGAGGCCTTGGCCAGCCTGGGCTTGCAGTACGGCCAGCCCGAGGCCAGGGTCTCTGCCGCCGCTCCGGAAGAGTGTGTTTTTTATGTGTGCTGTGGCAGGTGGAGGAGTTGCTGGAGTACTGCCAAGTCACCGACGATGGCTACGTGCACTACAAAGCGCCGGCCCCATGATGCACTCATGCAGCTGCCGCGGCCCCCCGAGAGAGCCCTCCTTTTGAGAGGAGCTCAGTGCCTTCCTGTCCCCGCAGCAGCCCCGAGCCAAGCAGAGCCAGACGCTCAGAACCCCAGCCGCCGCCCCAGCCATGCCATGCAGCACGTCTCGATCCAAAGACTGCCGATCACCGAAAGTGCGAGGAGGGCAAAAGGGGAGCGCCCAGAACCGTGGGGCTTTGCCCAATCCCGCACCGCGTTGAGCGTGCGGCAGCGCAGGCGCTCGCGCCGCGCGCAAGAAACCCCCCCCCCCCCCTTTCCCCCGCCCCGCGGTGTCTCGCACTCTCTCGCTCTCGCTGTCGTGCTCTCTGCGAAGACCTGGAGCACCCGAGGCAGCTTGAAGCAGACGCTCTACCCAGCCGAGGCTCTGAGCTTGGCGGTCGCTTTGGTCTCAGCTTTTCTGTTCCCGAGGTGGATGCTCCGCTGCCGCAGGACCAGCACCACGGTTTCTTCGTGGCGCGCACGGAAGACATCCGAAAGGCTTGGGCGGCTTGCCGGCGAAGCGGCTACCAAAAAAAGGGGCAGCGCAAGTGGCTTTGCACAGGTTTATTCACTCTGGGAGCGTGGCCGCATCTCGAACGAGCAGTTCAAAGATGGGTTGCAGAGCAGGGAGACCCTGAAGCTCATTTCCCCCTGACTAGCTGTGACTAGCTGTGTCTGGTTTTGTGAGGCGCTGGTGCACCCTCTCCATTGCCAGAAGAGCTCGACCGGCTGCTGGTGACGTGCGGTCCGAGAGCGTTGTTTTAAGCTTCGAGACTCCGGCTTTGCGCAGTTAGGTACGGCCCAGCGCGGTCCTTGCCCTTCAGTCCCTGGCCCAGACAGGGAGGACGGTCCCAGAGGCCGTGGAATCTCGTGCTTTGCGTTGGATAAGGCAAGCTGATGTACGCGCTGCAGATCGACGCGAACGACGGGCGTCGAGCAAGGAACGTGCCGCTTGGCTGGAAGGGGGCTGGACCTGGAAGGGGGCTGGAAGGGGAAGCGTGTGTCGGCGAAGACGTGAGAAGGTTGGGGGTGCCCCCTGCGGCTGCGGCAAGGGCCTGAGCAGGGCAGCAGGGCCGGCGCTCTGAGCCTCGCCTCCTGGCGGAGAGTTTGGCCGAGGCCTTCTCGGAGGGCCGCCGTGCGGGCCGTGCGGGTGCCGCGGGTGGAGCGCCCTCGGAACTGCCCCTGGGACCAAGAGCAAGAGCGATGAGAGAAAGCGGAGAGATCCGAGCCGCGAGACCTCATCCCGGGCGTCGAATCTTAGCATGTCTTAGTGGAGAGCCAGAAAGCCTGAGAGCGGCGAGAGGGGAACCTCGATCCGCGATGCGATCCGCGATGCAACTGGGAGGCGCTTTCATGGTTCCTGTCTCGGCCCGCCTTCGTCCACTGCAAGGCCACCGGAGTCCGAGCGTCGAGGGAGTTCTCAACTCCCGAATGCCAGTCTCTGTGACGAGCTGCCCGTGCCTCGAAGCCGGCAAGCGCCGGTCAGTGCGACTGCAGCGTGCCACGCCCTGCCACGCCCTGCTGCCCAGGGCGAATCCAGGCTCCTTGCGCCAGGCAGGGCGCAGGGCGAGCCGGAGACGGAGAGAGGTCCTCCGGGACCCGGAGCCTCCTTGCAAGCCTTGGAGGCGCTCTCTGATTTCGTGGACGGTCACACCCCAGCAGCGGCTCGGACGGCGGACTTTTTTGTAGAGAGAGAGAGTGAGAGAGATGCCCCTTTGAGCGCTGCGATTCTCAGGTGACCTTCCGTCTGCAGCTGCAGCGTCAGGAAGCCCATATAAATCCCAAGAGGACGGAGAGAAGAAATTTCTTTGAGACCTGAGTGATCTGTCGGGCGTCAGTTGGGGGGCGGGCGAAGGCGAGGGAAAACAGGACGTTCTTCTTGTCTGAGGCTTCGGAGTGCCTTTGACGTCGGAGCTGGAGAAGAGGATCCGCACGCACGAGCCCGGCAACCCAGGTCCGGGTTGCCCTTGGGGTGTACATGTATCTGTATCTGTATCAATATAAATATATAATTATAGACTGGTAGTTTTTGTTGAAGCATCTTTTGCAGCTGCTGAAGAGGGCCAAGTCGAAAGATTCGCTACCCACATCCCCGCATGCCATTCCGATGCTTGGTGCTGGCCTCCGCTTAGGTGTTGCTCAAGAAGCAAAAGAGATGGCTTCGGCTTAGCTCGTCTTTTTGTTGTTCCACTCGCTGTGCCTACCTATGGTTGGGTCTTCCCTTGTCTTGAATGGCTTGGTCTAACAGTGCTACTCTGGTTGGAGGTGATGGCTTTCAGTTTTGCAATGGAGCGGCTTTGCACTTTTTGACACAGTGGTACATGACAAGCATTCTTTGTTGCGACTCGGATGTCTCAGTTCCCCTCCCCGTAGCTGTTTCTTGGATGCTGAGAGAACTAGTAGCCGCGTCCTTGCCATACGGTAATCCTTCTAGCCAAGGTGGTCTTTTGGATCGGCTTTTTCTGGGGGGGGGGGGGCTTGTGGTGAGCCTTCTGATCTCTTTTATTCATGACAATCTGACAATAACACTGGTACATATTGCGTTGCGAGGGAAATGCGTCACACCACATGTGTGAGACGTTGTATGTTTTCTCGAAGCAGATTCGTGCTCGGACTCGGACTCCTTTTGCATGCTTACTACACTGCACGGTGCTGGATTAGCAGACATATATATATATATGTATGCTACCCCCCCCC